CAAAGTATAATTAAAGATTATGAAATTATCAAGGATATGAATACAATTAAAAACCTATTCACAAAATGATATAATGAGGGTTCATTTGTTCTAAACTTAAAAGTAGTTTAGAGAAAAAGTTAAAACAGGTGGTTAGTTTTGTAAGACAGTTAGGAAATGTACACGATTTGTTATTTAATATGTAGTGCAAGGCTAAGTGACAGTATTCACTAACGTTGAGCCACATGGTGGGCTACTGAGGAAAGCAGTACATTTGTGGTATGTAACCAATGTTGTGAGCAGACACAAAAGACTGCCATTCCTGTTAGATGGCTTTGGTGCCAGCACCACACCCAAAATATTAGACTTCATGGTCTCAGAAGGCACCATCATGCTCTGATTCAAGGTAAGTGTATGGCTAAAGATTATCCTTTTCTCGAAGGCAATAAATGGGAGTAAAAAGGAATATCATGCATTTCCCACCATTCCTTCAGCACCGACTTGACTTACAGACCAAGCACATACTAGGTACTTTAGAATAATCTCATTTAATTCTCACAAGCAAATTTATTATTCTCATCACCAGAAGGATATTAAGGCTCTGAGAGGTCAGACTTTTGGCAAATATGTATTATGGGCATGAAATATAATAGTAAATTTAGAGTATGGATTTATTAACAGGTCTATGTCATTGCTGCATTTCATGATATGGAAAATAATTACCATAATTAACAAAAAATGGTCATTTTAAAAGTTCATACATTTTTCATTTAAATGCTCAGTAAACATCAGCTATCTTACGAAGATGTTCAGTAGCAATGCATTTGGATCGTTTTCAGTCCCCTTTTCCTCAAACCTCATATTCTATCCCTCAGCACACCTGGCTAGTTACCTTCCTGTCTGTCTACTACACTGTCTACTCTAATAATATGCCAGCAAAATGTACATGCAAAAAAAACTCTCCACTACTACCCACTCTAACTCAGGCCTCAGTGAATTAAAACAAGTCTCCTAAATACTCCGGCTGCTTCTTCTACCCACCTCCCTGAGCCTATTCGGAATCCCTGCTAAGGATCCCTTTTTAAAGATGCTCCTTTTGCAAAGGTAGCATTCTAAAGGCTACCCAATCCGCCGGGGCAAACACTATCACTGAGCTATATCCTCAGTCCTCGTTTGACTCTTCATTTGAAGCTGGCCTCACTAAGCAACTCAGGTCACCCTTGAATTCACTCTATAGTTCAAGGCTGGCCTTGAACTTATGATCTTTCTCCCTAAGACTGCCAAGTAGCTGAAATTACAGACCCAGCCAAAATCCAACATCTTTATAACAAGTAGAATCCAGTACCTTCCTCTGCCTTCCTTTCCTCCACTCCTCCTCTACTCTAGTCACAGCCGCCTCTCTGTTGTTCCTTTGATAGTCTAAGCACCCTCCCCGCTCCTGGCTTTTTCAACTCTTTCTGGATCTCAGGTACTGCCCTGGGAAGTTTCGGCTCAAATGACACCCTGTCTGTAAAGACTTACTTCCTACCCCTTTACTTTACCAGAGCGCGTACTACTCCCAATGGAGCAGGTATTCATCACTGTTTACCTGACCCCATGATTAAATTTCACAAGATAAGATCTTGTATCTTCTCCATGCCTAGAACAGGATCCGGCATGAAGTACATACCTGAAAAATATCTGCTAAGTGAAATACAAATTAGTGCCAAAAATCTAGATTCATAAACACTCCTGCACAGGGCCTCCATACCACATATCCTCTACTACTTAATCTAAGCAATTCTAGCACTCTGGGGTAGAGACCAGGGCCTCTTCCACTCCCACACATACATCAAAATCTACAATTACTTCATTTACATGCATGCTTTCCTGTAAGATAATTTTCAAATTACTAAACCTCAGGTTCTTATTACTTTACAACATGTTCCACATTTGCTGCTGAATCTTCTCTCAGGCTGCTCTAAGAAAGTCAGTCTCCTCTCAAATGGCAGTCTGAGTCTCCCACCTACTGTTTATGCACTGCCAAATAAATTAGGGTGCATGCTTCTTGGGATCTCTAGCACAATGTCTCATATATGGAAAATATTCTCAAATATTATTAGTACTCTTTCTTCAATCCCTTTCTTGAACTCAGTGATACCTTGATACTCTTCATTCCCTCATGAATCACCAGTTCTCATGGGTGCGGGGAAAGCTCCATTAACTATCACGGGAAAGGAGGAAACAAATTTAAAAAATTCTTTCTGATGTGACTACTTTCTCACTCCCAACATCTAAAGGAGGGAGGAAGTGACAAAGGCCGCCCAGACAGATGAGAACTTGGATTGCCTTTCACAACTCGGCCCTGGCAACTTGAAAGAGCAGGACTGACAGGTTCCTAAAGGGACAAATGAGACTGAATCTTAAACACACTTCTGTTGACTGCTGTTAATGACTTCGGAAGAGATTTAAAAAATAAAAGGACACAGACAGAGGCATGTGTCATCACAACTCATTTAACTCTTTCACTTCATGCTGTTTCTTCTAGGAAAAGTTCAATGGCACATATAGGATCTAATTTAATGTTCATCTAAAGTATATTTTTTTTAATTTTCAATTATGTTAACAAATGCCACAAAGAGCATGCATTATTGCAAACCCTCCAATAATACTAATATTATGCTTAGAAAACATTCTACTTTTTACTTTATTTTAGCTTTTTGTTTTTTATTTAGTCAGTTTTGGTTTTTCAAGACAGGGTTTCACTGTAGCTCTGGCTGTCTTGGACTTGTTCTGTAGACCAGGCTGGCCTTGAACGAACAGAGATCCACCTGCCTCTGTCTCCTGAGTGCTGGGTTTTAAGGCATGTGTCACCACTGCCCCACTTATTCTATGATTTTTTTTAAACTTGCTCTGGAACATTTCCTTTCATTGGAGCACAAATCAAAAGGTGCTATAAAAAATTAAGCAGTGTTCTTAATAGTAACAACAGGAAACTTACCTGAAGTTAATTTGGATGTGTGTGTCAAGATTAAAGATTGATTAAATTTAGAGATGAACTGTAAAATTTAAGCATCAGAGACTAGAATGAGCAAAGGTAAGATGGTCTAGAACTCACAAAGCTCCTACACAGAGCAAAGTAAACATGGTTTAACTGCTTGTTTTTAATAAGATTAGTGTTACTTGCTTTACATTCTCTAAACTAGAAAATATACTAAAATCTCAGCAGATACAAACAAAAATCATCTGCAGCCACCTTGCACTAGTTACCTGTCTCCAATGGTGCCTTGAACCTGAGCTCTGTAAGCCCCATTACAGAGTGCATCGCCAGTCAAGGTAAATGTCTAAGAATTAGACTTTTCAGCATACGCTCAGCTATTTGATTGGGTAACAAATCAGAGAAAACTTACAAATAGCAAATAAAGTGGATACTAAAGAAACTTAACAGTAGGTGTGAGAAAGTCACCAAAGACACAAACATACAACTGGAGAAACTTAAACCGTCCAGGCTGCTCCTCACTTCACTCGCCCGCCCAGACGACCTCCCCGAAGCTAGGCTATCGAAACAGCCGCCCTACCACACTCGACTCCTGTATTCTTACTCTTTCTCACAGAGGTAACAACAGGCCATATTGTACAGCTCTATTCGCTCACTGCTCTCCTTCTGACTAGAACAGAGGCTCCATGAGGGGCAGCAGCCTTTTCGGTTCTGTTAATCTGGGCTCTGAGCACACTAGGTGGGCATTCGATGAGCCCTGAGCAAGTGCTGGATCAGAACGTGAGAGAACTGACGCCCAGAGAGGTCACAGGATTTCCTCAAGGTCACAAGCTGGCACAGTCTTTAATATAGACCTATTTACTACAACCCTGCCTGTCTGTGCCTTCCATAGCCGCCTGAACACCAAGCCAGTCTCACAAGGCTGGGTGCTGCTTAAAGGAATCTCTTCAGCGGAGTTTTCTTTCTCTGTTTTTTTGTGCAAAGAAAAAAAAAAAAAAGACCAAAAAAAGTAACACACTTCAAGTGCTTCACAAACTAAAACTGTGCTCCAATTTCATAAGCATGCAGGATTAGCCCCCAAAACAGGGAGGCACAACCACTCACAGCTCCTTGGGTTCCTTTGGAAATTAGTGTGTGTGTTAGAAGTTTTATAAACAGCCACTGAAGGGCTAGGGAAGCATCAACCTTTCGTTCTTCGCTGGCCCACAACAGCTCCCCTCTGTCAGATGCGCTTTATCTTGCAGATTATGCAAGGAGGCAACGTACCACTGAAGCCCCTTTTAGTTCCTTGTAAAAACATGTCAATCTTGCAAAACACTAAACAGAAAATCAACTCTTAGGAAGTTCTGGAGCCTGTGAATAGGTCCATCTCAGGCTCAGCTGACTTCCATCAAGTTCGTTCCTTCATTGAAAAACCTGCGAATCTAAACGAAAAGCGGGAGGGGGTGAAGGGGCAGAAAGGGAGTGAAGAGCCATTTTCGGTCAGAAAACTGGAGCTGATCCTGTTAGTACCACCCTAGACCTACGCCAGCTTCTCGCAGAAAGCCAGGGCCTTGCCGATACAACTTGTGTTGTCTTCTCTGGTCACCTTCCTTGCAGAGCGACTAGGCAACTGCCAAAACCTTTTGCGATGAATGTCCCTAGACCTAGGGTGCATCACGTTGAGCCAGGATGATTTGCTCAGAGGCTCTCAAAACTACTGTCAGCCTAATCAGTTAAACCGAAAGGGACAACCCATGATGTGGCATGGCAAACAGTTGAAAGGAACACGGGAGTTGAGAGAGGGAAAACAGCCGATGAAAAGGCTCCGGGAGGGTAAATGCATTAGGAGAGGGAGCGGGAAACAGGGTCTAGGAAATGGGGTCAGCAAAAGCCAAAGGTGACTGGAGGAAAGGGAGGGGGGAGATGAGATTCTGGAAGTGATGGGCGCAAGGCAAGGGGGAGGGGGACGCGAGTGGGCTGGGGGAGGGGGCGAAGAGTCCGGGGCGGGGCGGAAGAGAGAGAAGAGGCGGGATGAAGATGGCCAGGCCGGGAGGGTCTTTACCTGCAGCTCCGCCCGCTCCACCTCCCACTGGGCTCTCTCCACCTCGAAGCGGGCCCATTCGTGCTGCAGGAAGTGCAAGATCCCGGGGAGGCTGTACTGAGCTCGGGCCGCCCCCGCCGCAGCCGCCCCGTCTCCGGCCGCTGCAGCCTCCGCCAGAGGCCCGAGTCCCTTAGCACCGCCAGCACCCGGATGGTTGTTGCTGAAGAAGACGCCGGGACCCGCCTGCTCGTCCATGGCGCCCGCACGAACCCCGGGGAGCTCTGCCTAGGCGCCCAGCAGCGGCGGCAAACTGCGGCGGCCAGCTCTGCCTCCTCCCTCCGCCGCTCCCCGCCCACACCCCAGTCAGCAGGGAGCAGCCGCCTGGGCGCGGGGGCCGGGCGAGCCCGTGACGGGCCGGGAAGTGGGTCAACTGCAGCCCGCGGGGCTTGCCGGGAAATGTAGTCCCGGGGCGTGGCAAACCCGGCTGCCTGTGAGGCTGCGCCTCTCCGAGGCGGGGCTGAGGCCACGCCCCTTCCTCGCCACGCCCTCCCCTCGGGGCAGCGCGGGTTTCCTCTCCCGCGGTGTGTCGGGGCAGTGCCCCTCGGGCGAGCCGCCGCAGGCTCCCTTCACGCGGAAGTTCGCGGGCGGCGCTCCCTATTGCATACTCACACGCGGAAGTTATCACTCCGAGTACCAGCCCCAGCTGCACGTATTTTAGGGCTTCCTGGTTGTTTTGTTAAGAAAAAGGCTCAAAGCAAGCCATCCGGTGGGTCCTCACCCTCGTCACCCATCTGGGGGTTCATCGGAGCCCCGACACCCCTGGACCATGGGTCACGGTCGCGCCTGCCCTCGTTTCCCCCGAGAGACTCAGTTTTGTTGACAGATCGGTTTCGCTTAGGAGGCACTCTGGTCTCTGCTGAAATTCCACATTTGCGATTTTGGAGGACTTCTTCCAAATTCTAGTTTAACAATCTGAAGTCCCTTTCTCTGTTGTAATCCTTCGGTATATTCTGTGAAAGTTTTAGATCTCCAGTAACAAGTGCTGCTTGTTCAATCTCATTTTTCCCGTCATTGCCGCACAGTTTTTACCCAGTTCATTTGAACAAGCATTTTATTGTCAGTTATATTTCGTGCCGAGAATATAAAGATAGATGTCACAGTTCTTGTCATCAAAAGGAGATTGACATACATGTAGAGTCACAGAGTCCTAACGGCTACACTCAGGAGTAGCAAAGTCTCTTTTTGCTTCACTGTGTTCCTGAATACCCAGGAACCGCTTCCTTTCACTTGTCGCTTTCCCAATTTCTTGGGCAATTAACCTTTAACACCAAAGGCACACCAAAGTCCTTCCTTCTAAGTGACTTGCCAGTGCTTTACCTCTCTGTGCTTCATCATAACTATCCCTAAAATTTCACACCACACCGACGGGAGGAAGATGCCTGAAGAACATTTCAGAAATGAGAATGAAATTAAGTAATTATTTAACGGTCCTGCTAGCAAGAAATTTGTAATCTTGTTCCGATGGGCATGAAAAAGAAAAAGTAAAGATATAAGCTGGTGAGTGACTTGCAAGGGAAGGACATCCTGTCCCTGTCCTCTCTCTGCACCCTGGTCTTCCCATGGAGACTAGTGAAAAGGACAGGAAATACATTGTGTCTGCTCAGCTTGCAAAAAGCAATGGCAAGCCCTCTTCTCTCGGTTACTGAATGTATCTGCTTTGTGAATTCATTCTTTATTATCATAAAAAGTTGACCCAGACCTGGCCAAATTCCTTGTGTCATAAATTATTTTGACTCTAAATGTCCTTTGAGGGCCAGGCAAATCCTCTCACTTACAGCTCAAGAAATTGAGACTGTCTTCAAGGAGACCTTGAGTGACTAAACTAACACCCAGATTGCTGCCTGCTAGTTCAGTGACCTTAAAAAAAAAGGTTGAGCAGGACATGGTGGCACAGTCCTGAAGGAGAAGTCAGCCCAGGGCTACCGGGAGAAACCTGTCTTAAACATAATAATATTAATTAATTAATTAATTAATTAAAAACAGGTTGAGTTCTCCCTTATATATATCAGAGAACCAAGGAGACAAGAATTTTTTTCATCTGAGGGACTTAAGTAATTTTAAAAGTTTGAATGTTAAGAATCTGCTTTTTCCTATAACAGAAAAATTTTCAGGCAATTGCTTTAGACTGATTCATAAAAGACTATAAAATATAATTGAACATATAGGTAATAAGGCAGGGAAGATGGTCCCATCACTAAAGTGATGGCCATGTAAACATGGGAAACTGAGTTGGCATTCACAGCAGTCACATAGAGCCAGATGCAGGCAGATGCAGGCAGCCACCCACGACCCCATACTGGGAGACTGTGGGGGCTGTGGATGTGGAGATTGGTGAATCTGTGGCGTTCGTGGCCAAAGGGATGAACAATAAGTTCAGTGAAAGACTCCTGTTTCAATAAGGAGATAAAAGACTAAAATAAAGATGGAGGTGGCGAGCAATCAAGAAATACGTGTAGATTTCACACATGTGCACACACATATATACTTCCAAAAAATGAAATATCCTGGACTACTATGAAATATGTACTAAAGCATTATTTTAACTCATATTCAGCGTCATTATTCAATAACTTCTTTACTTTTGAGTACTTGTTTATAATCAAAATAGTATTTTTGGCCCATATCATAGAAATAACAGTGAATAAGTCAAAATATTAGGAGTTGTAGCAAAATGGCATTATGAAATTTACCTTCTCTTAAAAGGTCTGCATGTGGTGGCATTTTATTGGTAGTTTAACTAAAGAAACTATATTTAAACAAGTTTTAAGGCTCTTTTGCTTTACTATAAGGCCCATGGATCCCGTATTTCCCTCCTATAGGAGTTAGGTTCTGAAACTCCGTGAGTTTGTGTGTGTCCGCCGGCACACACGTCTGCCACTCGTGTATGGAGAGCAGAGCATGACTTATGGAGTAGATTCCCTCCCTCAGCATGTGGGGGTGGAACTCAGGATGTGTGTCATACTTGGCAACGAGCGCCTCTGCCCGCTGAGCCTTCCCACTGGCCCAGTTCTCTCATTTTTTTATTCAAACATAACATTTGTCTTACAGAATAGTCGCGCATTTATACAGGAGAATGAATTCAAGCCTTTAGCATAATCCTTACATATGGTATACACTGAATAATCGTAGCCATTTTTATAATAGAGTTCACAAGACTAACTGAAATTTATACACACACGTACACACGTACACACACGAACACACACTTAAGGCCTTGCTAAATGCCAGGGCCCTCGTCATTATTTGCTCTCCTTTTGCATTCCTAAATTAAAATAATCCCGAAACCAGCACGACTCATGCTTAAACGAACCTCTAAGCCTCAAACAAAACTCATGGTGTTGTTGGCCTCCCAATATTTTCATTATACAATAAAGTCCAAGTGTTATGAAAAGCCGTGTCTGCCGAGCGCTCGTGGAGGTGTTGACTCTTGGTTCAGCCTAAGCGGCTTGAGGTGAACGTGACGGCTAGCTGGGTCCTCAGACGGTAGACGTGGTCGCTGGGTTTGCGTTATCCACGTATGCTTTGGAGGCTCAGTACTACATTTCTGTAAAATGACAATTCGTCAGATTTTTTTTTCTGTTTTTCATTAAAAACGAGTGGCTATTTTCCCCAAACTGTGCAAAAAATGACCAGTTATTGAGATTTCACAGAAAGGTTTCAAATTGAACTTGATAGAGCTTTCAGAGTTCGGGACAGGAAAAAAAAAAAGGAAATTGCTTGGGTGGAAAGAAGACTCCAGATGGACAAAAATCACTTTGGGGAACAGGAACTTGCAATAGCCCATTGCTTATTTACCTCTGCTACCCTCTGCCCTGTCCATCTCTGTCCCCTCTCCTTCCTGCCTGTCCTTTGTCAGGGAGCTTGTTCCTACATCCAGCTTCCCACAGAGTCCCCAGATGTGATGCCGAGATCTGCAGTTTGACGATGGCTGAGTTGTGGAAACAGCTATATACACTGAGAATGAAGGGATTTCTGTCGTCTGAAAATTCCCCTGGAGTCCAAGATCTGCATCACAAATTCATGATGGGATGGGGAAATAGCCTTTATTAGCTGTTATTGCAGCGACTGTCCCTTTGGGGGCAAATCTGAAGTGAGAATGTTGACTTATCTCAGTTTTAAAATGGTCATTTGGGGCCAGAGAGATGGTTCAGCAATGAAGAGCACACACCGTTCTTCCAGAGGACCCTAGTTAGGCTCCCAGCCCCCATGTCAGGAGTGTCACTCACAGGCACCTGTAGCTATAGGTCCAGGGGGATGGACGACCTCTGGCTTCAGTGGGCACTCGTACCCACCTGCACAGGCACACGTGCACACACACACACACACACACACACACACACCATTTAAAATTAAACTAAAATTCATTTTATAATAAGTTTAACTTTTAAGTTTCATTTCAATTTTTTTAGATAATCTATAAAAGGAGTAATTAAAATACAGACAAGTGAGCATTAGCAGTATATTAGAGTCGGGATTATTTCAAATCTTGGAAAACAAAGCAAACACATTATTTTATTTTACTGGCCAGTTTTTGATACGTCATGGTCAACGATCTCTTTTTAGAATAAAGTTTCATGTATATTTTTTAAAAAATCATTATTAATTAAAATTAATTTTAGTTTTGTGACTGTTGATAAGTTAAGAAATAAATACTTCAAGGCAACAGCAAGATTACCTAAATCAATATAAATGATGAACACAGAACAGCCTGAGATGATTACAGAGTTCTGAAGCTGTCCCTAGCGTTCTCTTAGTATTTTAGTAGTAGCCAGGCAGTGGTGGCGCACACCTTTAATCCCAGCACTTGGGAAGCAGTGGCAGATGGATCTCTGTGAGTTTGAGGCCAGCCTAGTTTACGAGAGCTAGTTCCAGGACAGGCTCCAAAGATGCAGAGAAACCCTGTCTTGAAAAACAAAAAACAAAACCAAAGCAAAAAAGAATATTAGTAGTGATCAACCTAAGTATTTACCTCAGCCAACAAACAGATTAGGTTTTGATCCTATTCTGCAGATATATATACTTATTTTTATCTTTTGTGTATGAATGTTTTCCTGCATGCACCACATGTGTGTCCAGAGAGGCCAGAAAAAAGCACCAGATTCCCTGGAACTGGAGTTATAGAGAGTTTTGAACCACCTTTTGTTGCTGGGAACCAAACCCAGGTCCTTTGGAAGAACAAGTGCTCGTCACCAACGGAGTCGTCTTTCCAGGACCTTATCACATTTTCTTTTTCCCTCCTCAACTCCAGATTTCGCTGGATACCTCCTCTCAGTTAAAACTTCCAGTGAATGGAAGCTCTTCTCA